GAGAAGGAAAGGTCAAAGGGGGGGGGGGGGTGGGGAGGGTGGAGAAACGGTCAAGTGGGGAACTGAGCGAACTGCCATGAGCCTTGTCACTCTCCCACTGGTCACATGAAACCTTCATGCCCCTTGATGGATTCGGCGTCATCCCGTCCATTCCCTCGTTTTCATTTTGGCGGGATGTCTCAGGTAAAAAAGAATCATTCTTGGTTCGATGGCATACCACCCCCTATTTCGAGCACTAAATACAGCTTTAATTATATATATTTTTACTGTAAAAGAAGCTTGAAGACCTTGAAACTTGTAACAATTTGAAATCAATATTAACCTATAATATACTCATCGCCAAAAAAAAAAAGCCTGATCAAGAAGAAGCTGAGCGATCTTGATGAAATTTGGTACGCAAGTTCATACTAGCATACTATGAACTTGATTAGAATTTAAGGTGTGTAGGATGAATATTAATTAAGAAAAAATACCAAATAATCCAATTTCAATAACAGCTATGGGGTCACACAAATCGACCGAATCGGGTTACGTAGATAGTTTTTACTGACGAAATGTGGTAGGAAAACTCCTATAGATGTGCAGGAAAATCGGGCAAAGTTTTGAGATCGTAAGATGAAGCAAATCGGAGAAAAACTGCTAAATGCCGGAAAAATCGGGGAGAAAGGCGGCACCATTTAAGGCAGCAATCTCCTTTTTTCCTTCCCTCAAGCCGCTTCCTTATAGGGCCGTTGTTGAGTGTGTAATCGCGAGGCAGTGCCAAGATGAGATCTCTGGTGACAATTGCAACAAGCTGTTGGTTTTCCTACCACGTTTTCATCAGCAAAAACCATCTACGTACGCGTAACCCGATTCGGGCGATTAGTATGACCCCATAGCTGCTATTGAAATTGGATTATTTGGTATTTTTTCTTCATTAATACTCACCTCATTCACTTTGAATTCTAATCAATTTCATAGTATGCTAGTATAAGCTTGTGTACCAAATTTCATCGAGATCGCTCAAATTCTTCTTGGTCGTAATTTTTTTTTTGGCGATGAGTATATTTTCGCAACTTGATCGATGTTGCCTATTCCCACGCAGCTTCCGCCCAACAAAGATGGCGTTCCACCCCCACCGCTCGAGGAGGATCCCCAACCAAGAATGGACAATTCTAAACCAGGCTCAGCTTACGGTCTGTTTCAAGAAGGAATCTCTCGCTCCTTCTAGCACGAGGTCCTGGATTTTCCTGAAAGAAATTATCCCCGGAACAGAGCAATGCATGTACCGCGAAGTCTGCTGGAGACTGGACCAGAGGGGAGCAGTGGGCGAGAACGCTCTCCACCTCTGCCTCCTCAACGCAACCTCCGTCCACGCCGATCTGGCCAAAAGACTCGTCAAGTGCTTCCCCAAACTCATCAACGACGTCTACATCTCCGACGAATATTACGGTGAGCAACAGCCCACAGTACATGCCAGAGGGATCCGTCGAGCATTAAAAAAAATTGCACTGCATACGGCAGGAGAAAACGTACTGCACTGGGCGATCGTGAACGAGGACCCGGCCATGGTGAAATTCCTTCTCGACAACGGCGTGAACTACCACGAGAGGTGCTGCGGGAACTTCATGACCCCAGAGGACCAGAAGGCTTCTCGATCGGATTCCCTGGACCAGGAATGGGTCATCCTTTCCCCCAGCACCAATTACGAAGGGTGAGCCTTCAAAACCGAATCCACTCGCGAATCTCGCCTAATTCCGTGCATGAATCCCCGCGTTCTCCCCCCATCCAGATACGTGTACTGGGGCGAATACCCGCTGTCGTTCGCAGCTTGCCTCGGCCAAGAGGAATGCTACCGACTCATGCTCGCCAAAGGAGCGGATCCGAATCTTCAGGATTTCAACGGGAACACCGTCCTGCACATGCTCGTCATCTACGAAAAGATCGTGGGTCTCTCTGCATCGAAATGCGAGCGTTCATAAGTCCCAGAGTTTTCCGAGAAACATCCTAAGCTTAATCCGATGAGGGAAATCCATTCAGACAATAAAGCCTTGGTCAGTGTACGAAGTCCAAGAGCAGATGCTCAACACAGCAGATGCACCAGAGCTGATGCTCAACGATCCATGGAATTTAAATTCGATCGTCGAAACGAAGAAAGCGAGATAACGGACGAACGTCCTTTTCGTTACTGTCTAACCCTGTTGGGTTGAACATTGAAGGTCGCGATTCGGATCGGCGCAATGACTTGCAAGATGATAATGCATGCCTTCACGGCTTCTTCGGTGCTGCCATAAAAAGCAGCCAATGGTCCGAATGCTGAACCCTCTCTTAGGCCAAATAAAAGAATCTATAAGCCTGCGAACTCTTTTTTCGGTAGATTTATAAAGAACTGCTTACAGAACGAGGTTTTAACATTCAGGCCTAGCACTCAAATGAGCAGTTGAACAGTTGATGAAAAGTTGAATCAACCGATGAACATTTGAATGCGAAGCTGCTCCTCCCTCGCGGATGACACCAACTCCTCGCCTGCACTTTGAAATCACGCCCCCAGAGAACGCGTTTTTTGAAAAACGCGAGAGACACAAGGCTTGGCCCGATGTGATACGAGGGCATTCAAGCGAAAAAAAATTCCTATGGCATTTTCCCTTCCGAATTCTTTTCTATTATAGCAAAGTTGACCATGGTTTTGCAAAATCATACATAGGTTGGATTCTCATATGAAGCGCGTCGTTTAAAACCGCTCGTCAAGTGAGTCGAAAATGTGGGTATTTTGTTTGGGTTTGCTGCTCCCGAAATTCCCCGAAACTATGGGAAGTTGCGCGACGAAATTTGGCTGAGACTAAATATGACCAAATGCCAGTTTAGTTTTTTTTTTAAATTAAATGGTAAAGCCTTGGTAACAAAAAGCTATAATAATAATTGTAAAAAAGGTGCAGAGCAGGCTGGAGTCACACGAATGGCTGGATGGATGGTTGCCTGCTTCGAGAATGCCTCCCCATCTCCTCTCCTTTGATAGGATACAATTTCCTTCTCCCAACCGGAGGCTGTATGCATTCACTGATGGAGAATGAAATGCGGCAATGGAATCTTGATATTTTCCGAGCATTTCAGAGTACGAGCTAGATACGGAAGAACTTTCCCCTTAAAATCACGATATTCCAATTATAACAGCGAGTTCTCTTTCCTAGCTTTTCACCGCAATTTTAACACATCATGCTTTGTTTCCCTTTTAGCCGATGTTCAACATGGCTTACGAGCTGGGGGCGCTTCTCACCATCTTCAACAACCAATTCCTGAGTCCCCTGACCATGGCGGCCAAGCTGGCCAAAACGGAAATGTTCTTCCACATTTTGAAGTTGGAGCGGGAGATATATTGGCAGATAGGTGAGACGACGAAACGGTTTTCAGCATGCCAAAGCATTCAAGGTCAATGTGAGCATTTCAAAAATGTAATTCATTGTTTCTCTCTCCAGGTAGCATCACTTGTGCTGCTTACCCGCTGCGTCAATTGGATTCCATTGACATCGAAACTGGCGCAGTGAACAAGAACTCTGTTCTCAATCTCATAGTCTACGGGGTGAGGATTTCCAACCGGTTCGACGATGATTGGGCAAAGGGGATATGAAGTAATGTGAAAACCAATTTTCAATGGCTTTCCATTTCTTCAAACTTCACCCTTCCCTACAGGACTCACTAACGTTAGGCATAGGCCTAACCAACAGGCTGCCTTCAGGTCACGCCAAGACCTACCTTTTTTCTTTCAAAAGAAACTTAATTCTCGATTTACGGGGCCAATTCGCCCTATGAAAGTGAATCCGTGGTTCTCGAGACATTTCGTTGAGGACTTGTAACGTTGTCTCTCACGACCCATTTCAGTGAGGACGTGTAGCGTTAGACCGATTTTAAGCCTGTTTCGCCTTTCATGAACCATTTCAGTGGGACGTGGAACGTTAGGGCTATCTGGAGGTCCTCGAACCATCTCGAATAGGCCTGAGGAGGTGATGCCTCCAGGAATCATGAAATCCATGGTGCGCGTCATCCTGTTAATTCAAGGATGTCCGAATAAGATATCTCCATATCCTACCACATCTATCAATCACTACTAACCACCGCCTCATTCTTGGCTCATATCACTCAACCCTAAAATGTCTCATACATAAAAAAAGAAAAGAAAAAAAAAACAGAAAATCCAGATGCCGATACGAAGGTTGAAGTAATCTTGAATCTGGCATAATTTCGGCACAACACCCGGCAACACTGGGAGCCAA